ATAAACTCAAAATGGATTAAAGATCTAAATGTAAGACCAGAAACTATAAAACTCCTAGAGGAAAACATAGGCAAAACACTCACTGACATAAAGAGGATCCTCTATGACCCACTTCCCTGAGTAATGGAAATAAAAGCAAAAATAAACAAATGGGACCTAATTAAACTTAAAATCTTTTGCACAATGAAGGAAACTATAAGCAAGGTGTAAAAGCCTTCAGAATGGGAGAAAATAATAGCAAATGAAGCAACTGACAAAGAATTAATCTCAAAAAAATACAAGGAGCTAATGCAGCTCAATACCAGAAAAATAAACAACCCAATCAAAAAATGGGCCAAAGAACTAATATATATATACATGGAATTTAGAAAGATGGTAATGAGGACTCTATACGTGAGATAGCAAAAGAGACAAAGATATAAAAAACAGACTTTTGGACTCTGAGGGAGAAGGAGAGGGTGGGATGATTTGAAAATAGCATTGAAACATGTGTATTACCATAGATGAAACAGATCACCAGTCCAAGTTCAATGCATGAAACGGGGCACTCAAAGCCAGTGCACTGGGACAACCCTGAGGGATGGCATGGGGAGGGAGGTGGGAGGGTGGTTCAAGATGGGGGACACATATACATCCATGGCTGATTCATGTCAATGTATGGCAAAAACCACTACAATATTGTAAAGTAATTAGCCTCCAATTAAAATAAATAAATTAACTTTAAAAACAATTAAAACAGGGGTCCATTAATATCAGCTTCAGAACCGCTTCTAACTATCCCATGAAAATTAGGATGTAGGGACATCCAACCAAGAAAACTTGGACTTCCTTCAATTAAACAGTGTCCACAGACCAGTGCAAATAACCATGGATTGGGGGGGAAGACTGGACATGAGGAGAAGAAAGAATGAATGACTACCTGTCTTCCTTAAACAATTTGAAGATATAAAGAAATAACTCAAAAGGGAATCTGGACTTGCCTGGTCATGGGCTGGGCCTGCAGGTGTACACATGATGGACACCCAATACATATTACTCACTGTTAGGAACAAAGAAAGGGGCTACTTTTGTTTGTTTTGCTGCTTTTTTTTTTAAATTATGTTTGCTAAGACATGGGGATATTGAGCCTATCTGTAAGGAGAAGGGCAGGGGACCCACTAGAAAGAAAAAGAATGGCTGAAGAGCTTTAAGAGTTCAAGGAAAAAAGTTTTTCTTGAAAAAGAAGGGAAAATACATTTTCTAAAAGAGATAATAAAATGACCAATCAATTTATAAGTATGACAGAGGTAAGCTAACTATCAAGAGGCATCCAGTTCCCTGGCCTGAAGATAGGTAACAGCAATATGCATTCGAGGTCTTACAATAAGTATGGAATGAATGTCTGCCAGGTACAAGCACCTGGACATGCATGCTCCTGGAAGTTGGGCCCTGCCTGGTAGAGATGCCTTCAGCACAATGATTATCTCAGGATGAAGGGGCCTGCACCACGGCAAGGACCCTGGACTCAGCTGAGGAAGCGTGGACTCCATGCTCAGCTGAATCACTGATTTGCTTCATGACTTTGAGTTAGATAGTTTCCCTCTCAGGTCCTCAGTTTCCTCATCTGTCAAAAGGGAAACCAAATCAGATCAGTGCTTTCCAAATGCCAAGTGGGTCTATACAGGGCTTTAATGACATAGCCTTTATTTTTGTTTATTTTAACTGAAGCAGAATACACCAAAAAATACATGTAAAATAGTGTAAATCTTGCTGAATTTTTCACTAAGTGATGCATGTAGCATTACTTGGATCAAGAAACAAAACATCACTGATATCCTAGAAATGTGCCCACCCTTATTACTTTCCAGATAATTCCATCTACCCCTTGATGTAAACCCACTGACTTAACCCAGAGCAGGAGAGATCAGTTTCTCCTGTTTATATCACTTCTATAAATGGAACTATGCAACACAATCAATTTTGTGTCTAGCTTCTTTCACTCACTGTTAAATTTGGGAGATTTATCTTCATTATAGAGGGTAATGCTGATAGTTTCAATGAGGCATGTTTTAAATATAAGAAAAAATAAGAAAATAAAGTGTGTGTTTTCCATAAAACTAAATTTATTCAAAATAAATGATCATCCTTCCATTTGAGATTATGTGCTTTCATCCTTTTGGTGATAAAAACATCTTTTTGAATTCCATTGTTAACTGCTGGAAGTTTGGTTTTAGTGTTTTATTTTTTGTTTTGTTTTCATTTTAATGTACTAACTTGGCAAATTCAGCCTTAATTTTTATCACTCTCTGTATTAAATAAAATTTGAATTGGACTTGAAATCCCTAAGTATGCAGGATCCCTAGGGCTAGAAGCCCCCTTAGTCTCTAGGTCTTACAGACCACTCGGAGGCATCAGGTTTTGGTTATGGCCACATTTAATGGCCCACTCTTAAGCACAGATTCCCAGAGATGGCCACAAACCCCCCAATTATTGATTTTTCTTGAAAGAGATAAAGGAAGCTTTTTTCCTTGCTTGTAATCTTTGTGCAGACAAAACAAATAACAGCATCAATTTTCCTAAGTACCAGGTCAGATATGTCTTATCAGAAGGCTACGAGAATTGCCTGAAAGAGTCGCTAGCAGGGGGTTCATCAGTAGGAAAGGACAAGAAAACCAAGATATCAAGCATGGGATTTCTGTGTCCCAGTTTTCTGGAAAAGAGAAAATGTGTCCTGGGTTGGTGTCCCTCAAGGAAATCCTTATCACCGAAAGTAGACTTTAAAGAAAAATAAAGAGGCGCTTAGCAGGCACTCAACTAACAAACATGATTCCTTGAAAAAGAGGATAAAATCAATCATTTTAGCCAGAGTTGAAATCACATGCATTTTACAAAGAAAAATCACACACATGCTCACAGACAGAAAGAAAAAGAAAAAAGAAAGGGATGCCAGAACAGTCAGTCCCTAAAGGCTAATTGTCTGGTTGAAGTGATGGGATCTGTGATGAAATCTTCCATCAAGGTCTATTCAAGAGAGGAGCTTCCTGCTGGCAGAATTCAGAATCCTCTTCCCCAGGGGATCTCAATTACATATTCAGCCTCTTTCCCTTGGAGAAAGCCATTATAGAACAATTCAACTTTTAAAAAAAATCAATCTGTGGCTCTGTTTTTCATTACTAGCTGTGAAGAGATGCAGCGCCCAAATTATTACAAATAAATGGTTACCCTTTTATAGCTGAAATAAGAAAGCTTTCCAGAAATATACGCATTATATAAGGCAAGATACACACATGCACATTATATATAGTCCTTTTATATATATATATATATTGGGTTTTTTTTTCTAGAAAAAAATTTTTTGTTTGCTCCTGACTTGTTAACATTCAACCGTTTACCTCTGTTTCTATAGCCTGCCCATCTCTTATTTGGGTAATTTTCCAAAGTGTAATTTGGGTAATTTGCCAAAGTTCTCGGCAGAACCTAAGCCCAACCTCCCTCTGCCATCCCTCGCTGATTAGAGTCAAGGAGGACTTATTGCCTTTCTTCCATCTCCTGGAAAAGCCAAGATGTGAGTTGGTGTCCCCGTGTTGGTCAATCGGATCTTCTTTTTCAGGACTTTGACTCTTGATTAATGATACTAAGAGTAAGGGAATGTCTGAAGCTCAGAAGTTCATGAACCAGACTGTTGCTTTGGCAGAAATTCTGTTGAGGTTCCTGCTGCCTTCTTCTCAGTAAATCTCTCTCCTACATTTTAAGTAGAGTTAATTTCTGTGACTTTCAAACAAGAACAGTTTCTGAAGCAAGAGCTGGTGACCACATATGAATCCTAAAAAACTTTAATTTTTGAAAGGTAAAAAAAATCATTTTCTTTATATGTAATAAAGCATGTGTTGGAAAAAATAGTTTTCATACCCTGAAATTGCCAAAAGGCAGAGAAAATTATTAGATGACCTCATATCCCAAGAATTTAAAGCTAAAGATGAAGTTTTCTGAAGAGAGGCAAACAGAAGCATCTTAAAATCTGCTTGAATGTTTATGTTTTTAAATAAGGAAGTTTTGATATTGAAGTACAAGCACAGAAATACATACACTATGTTTCTGCTTCAAGAAATACTATTCCTGATGCCCTTATTTAATTTACAGTCACTGAGAGGAATTATTTTTAATCAAGCAGCATTGTTTCATATAATTAGGAGGGAAGTTTCTTCTGGTTAGCAACAAATCTGGCCCTCATACAAATGTCCTCTAGCTTCTTGTGCCACAGGGCAGTGGGTAGAGTCCAAGAGAGAGAAGGGCATGTAGCCCTGTCTTCCCCTTTATACCCAGAAGGTGCTTCATTCTTCGGTGCTCGTAGACTTGACCATGGGAATCCAGTTCCCTCTTTGTCATTTGCCACAGTGCACCTGAAACTCTACTGATTTTTGACCCCTGAGAAAACCCTAACAAGGTCCCAAATTTGATCATTTGTGAGCACAAGTGTATTAATAGCTCCTTTCATAGCAGAACCATGGTGACCTTTTCCCCTCAGCTCCCCAGAACTTCTCCAACACATCCAGTTTTCCTGAGAGTCTGTTTGAGTCTGAAAATGACTAATACCCACCTGAGGATGTATTCAACTGGAGGGAAACAGAGAACTATGGTGTCTCACTACCTGAAGTTATATACTGACTCTGCCACTTAGTATCTGTAGAATCTGTGATTTACTTAGCTTCTTGAAACCTCAATTTACACATACGTAAAATAGTAATGGGCCACCACTGATCCATCCACATTGTCCCTTACCTGGTGCCACTGATTCCAGTGCCACAAAGGAGAGGCAGTGTGTCTCAGGACTTTCTTAGGAAGGGAAAGAGATCACAGCATGCCCATGCATCCATCAGCAACACATTCAGTTAGAGAAACTGTGCCACAGTTTAAGATGAGCAGTGGCAATCTAGGTTGGTGGTCCCTTCAGGGAAATTCATCACAAAGGAGTCCCCATCACAAGGGAACACAGACACTTGCCATTTGAGAGGGAGTAAATCTGGACATTTAGGCAGATGTTTGGCATTAAGGTGTGGTAGCTGTACCCAGGCCCAGAGAGAGAAACTCAGGATTTAAAAAAACACACCCCCCCCCCTTGAAGAAAAGAACAGAAAAGAAAAAACAAAGATAGAAGAATGGGAAGTAACCTCTTTATGTCTTGTCTTTATGGAGAGTTGCTGTTCCTGTTTCACCATACATTATAAAGCAGTATTACTAACCACCACCAGCAAATCTTTAGCAAAGAAAAGAACTGAATTTCAAAACCAGAAAACTTAATCAAGGACACAGGCTTATTATAGAGTGGAACCAGAATTTGCTCCTCCTGGAAGCCACAAGAGGTCGGGGCAGGAAATCAAAGCTTTATTTCAGGTAAGGGGAATAATTCAGTAGCCTGATTCCCAAGGTCAATAATTCAAGGTACCATCTTAGACATGGACACAAGGTAGAAAGAGGAATCCCCTGGCAGAAAGAGGATCCAGGATAAGCTCACCACTCAACTACAGTATCCAATTTCTCTTGACTGATAACTGCTTTCTTCTGGGATTTTGCTATGAAGGGACATTCAAGATCCCTATAGTGCCACCAATTTTTCAAACAGTTTGGGGAGATGGTTGCAGTAACCGTTGGAGTCTACATAATGTGTCTATAGAATTTGGGGTTTTGTTTTTGAAGGAGCATATGCTTTATCTTCAGCAGAAGAAGATTATTCTGGAATTAAGGGTAGGATTCAACCTAGAGCCTGTTTTGGTCCAAAATAATATAAAATAATAAAATTAAAGTATTGAATTTTTGTGATATTTGCAAATATCCATTACAAATCTGACTGCCCAATATTAACCCCTTTAGCCCAATCTACCAAAGATTATAAAAGATTGAGATAATAGAATAAAATTGTAATTTGTGTCTGTGTAATGTACAAACCCTAAGGAAACATAAAAAACAAAACACAAATGAGTGTCTTTAATTGTAGTATTTAAACTCTCCCTATCTGTTCCAACACCATTTATAGGCAGCTTAATTAAACACCATCCTAATTCAGCACAAGGAGACCCGAGGGGACATATTTTATAACCTCAAACTGTAAGTGTGAAAGAAAGCTTTGTTTCTTAAGCCTTTGTCCTTGTACTGTTAAAGCAACTCAGAAAATATTCCTGAGTCACCCAGTCTACTCCTCCTTGGTCATCTAGGAGGTCAAAGAGGACAGTGTTGACCTGCTTTAACAAAGACTACCTTTTACCACACATTCTCCAGGTCCTACTGTTCTTTAGAAACCCAAAATTCCTATTTTATATTGTATCATGCTGACAACCTCCATTTTTACAATATATTCTGGCTCCAAAGAGTTGGGTTCTAGCTACACTCAAAATCATCAACCATCCTGAGGATTTTTGATAACATTTTCTACAATAAGCATACTTTCTGCATTTTGGCATCTTTAAAATTCAGGATGCATCTTAGAATTGATGGATATAATAGTCAATGTCTGTCAGGTGGCAATTATAGTGCTACTAAGTGAAAACTTTCTATAGATGGCTTCTAAAAAATTCAAGAAGGGACCTCATCTAAGTACCTTAGAATCAATGAAATATGAGTGTCTACAGCTAACATATACTGACCACTTTCCATGGCAGGTGTACCAGTTATGTGATGTCTCATTAATGCTGTCTAACCAACAACCATGAAACCTCAGTGTTAAATACCAATGACATTTATTATTTCTCATGAATCTGTGAGGTTACTGAGCAATTCTGATTTAGGCCAGGCCTAGCTGTACTTACCATATGTCTGTAGTCAGCTTCAGTAGTGTGTTTCTGCTGATCTTGGTTGGGCTCCCTCATGTTTAGAAATCAGCTAGCTCAATGCTGGTTGTCTAGGATACATTTCCTTCCTCTTGTGGTCTTCCATCCTCAGGCAGGTTAGCCTAAGTTTGTACTTATGGTAGCAGGATTCCGAAAGAGGAGATGAATTCATGCAAGCAGTTTTTTCAAGATTCTGCATGAATGATAAATACTTTTGAAACATTCTATTGGCAAAAGCAAGTCATTTGCCTAAGCCCAAAACAAACCTGAAGATATTCAGCTCTTTCTTGCGCTCTCCTTGGCATAGTGTAACATTCAGCTGAAGACGGACATCTGCTGCCCCCTTTAGGTGATCACTTTTCAGTCGACCACCTTCTAACACAGGAGCCATATCTGCTTGACATCTGTGCCTTACAGATGATGCATATCTACACCTGTAATATTTTAATATCTACACCTGTAACTATCATTGTAATTAAAAACAATAGGGCTTTGAAAATAGCCAAATATATCTCCCTCTCAAACTCATCATCTATCATCCACAAAATTCAAAGTGCTAAAGCTATTGCTAAAAAATGTATCAAAACAAAGTGAGTCATATAGGATCCTTGTAGGAACTCATTCAGATTCCGCCAACCCCAAGGAGCTGGAAACTCAACTGTTGAACACCAAAGCCAAATCATGTTTAAGACTGGTGATCACTATCTTACTTTTCTCTAAATCAACCTGTCTAAATTCCTCATTCTGAATCATTCTGATGAGAATGACTGTACTATCACTTGTTAGTAGACTGTACTATCACTGCTAGACTCATATTAATTGCTGGTGTTATAAATAAAACTTTAAGGACAAAGTAGTAAGCCAAACATATAGGGTCTGCTCATCTAGATTTACTGTGCAACTGTGGCCTATTGATTGTTTTCTCTAAATAATTTTGAATAATTTATATGAAAGTAAAGAACATTTCTTACATGCCACATTTTTATCTCAAAACCATTCTTTTGAGACCTTGTGTATAACAATTTTATTGTAGTCTTCAATCTTCATGGAGCTATCTCACCAAGTTTATTTCTAACTTAAATGCTAGCTGATGGCAAGATCCAAGAAAAAAGCTTCAGACAACTAGAGCACCTGGATATTTTTATTTTTTGCTTGAACAATTAAATTAAACTTTGCTCTGTGGGCTGCCTTGGGAAATGACAGGCTTAACAGCCTGCTGAACAAACAATACAGTTGCCATCACACTTGAGTTACAGTCCATTTAAACTCCAAATCAGCTACAACCAGGGCTTACATTTCTTGAGCAGGTGGAACGGAAGAGGCTTTGGGATATCACAGAGACAACTGCCTAAATCCTGAAGAGGAGGTTTCCAGGATTTTAAATGATACACCAGACAAACAATAAGTTAAAACTCTTCCTGAACGCTCAAGGAAAACCCTCCTTTGAAGTCTAATCTTACAAATTACATTCAGTTCAGTTCAGTTCAGTCACTCAGTCATGTCCGACTCTTTGTGACCCCATGAATCGCAGCACGCCAGGCCTCCCTGTCCATCACCAACTCCCGGAGTTTACTCAAACTCATCTCCATCGAGTTGGTGATGCCATCCAGCCATCTCATCCTCTGTCGTCCCCTTCTCCTCCAGCCCCCAATCCCTCCCAGCATCAGGGTCTTTTCCAATGAGTCAACTCTTCACATGAGGTGGCCAAAGTACTGGAGTTTCAGCTTCAGCATCAGTCCTTCCAATGAATATCCAGGACTGATCTCCTTTAGGATGGACTGGTTGGATCTCCTTGCAGTCCAAGGGATTCTCAAGAGTCTTCTCCAACACCACAGTTCAAAGCATCAATTTTTCGGCGCTCAGTTTTCTTCACAGTCCAACTCTCACATCCATACATGACTACTGGAAAAACCATAGCCTTGACTAGATGGACCTTTAAGGCAAAGTAATATTTCCGCTTTTTAATATTAGACATATAAGCAAGTATAAATCAAAGGTATCCAGAGATGGTCTGTAATCAATCAAAATTTAGACTTCTATTGTGAAACATTTTACATTTCCCTGGCTTGGTTACAAATGTAACTGACAACTACAAGAATGTTAAGGTTCCACTATGCTGTTTTGCAGAGGTGGCAATGGCACCCCACTCCAGTACTCTTGCCTGGAAAATCCCATGGACGGAAGAGCCTGGTAGGCTGCAGTCCATGGGGTCGCATAGTCAGACATGACTGAGCGACTTCACTTTCACTTTTCACTTTCATACATTGGAGAAGGAAATGGCAACCCACTCCAGTGTTCTTGCCTGGAGAATCCCAGGGATGGGGGAGCCTGGTGGGCTGCCGTCTGTGGGGTCGCACAGAGTTGGACATGACTGAAGTGACTTAGCAGCAGCAGCATGCTATTTTGAATCAATGGTTCTTGGAAACACACACACACACATCTATCTATCAGACTAAGTTGTTTTAGGTATCTATTTTAGAGTAGGCTTATCTAATTCATGCAATCTACTTTGCTGCTATTTATGCTGGTATATTTGACAACTGTCACCCTGAGTGATAAATATAGATTGGTTTCCTTTATTTTCTAGATCTTCAGCTAGACCAAGTAATAAATCACCATCTTTGATTTGGTGGTGGGTGGTGAATAAACTGTGTGTGCGTGTGTGTGTGCACGCACGCACACACACTCAATTGTGCCCAACACTTTGCAGCCCCATGGACTGTAGACCACTAGGCTCCTCTGCCCCTGGAATTGTCCAGGCAAGAATACTGGAGAGGGTTGCCATTTCCTCCTCCAAGGGAATCTTCCTGACCCATGGATTAAACCCATGCCTCTTGAATTTCCTGCATTGGCTGGAGGATTCCTTACCACTAGCACCACCTGGGTGCTTTTGTTTGTTCACTTTTTAAAATCATCCAAATTAAAGATACACTTAAGAATTAATGAAGGTTCTTAATCACATCCATAGAATAGACTCTCGCAGCCATTAAACAGGAAGAGGTATAGCATTAGCATCAAAAAAACGAAAGAAAGAAAGAAACCTGACAGATATAACAAACAAAAAATGTTTAAGACTTATATACGGAAAATTATAAGACTATGTTGAAAGAACTCAAAGGAAAACTTAGAGAGATAATCCATATTCATGAATAGAAGGGCTCAATAGCATTAAGAGGCTGGTTCTTCCTGCTTTAATCTATAGATTCAGTATAATTTCAGTCAAAACCCCAGTAAGTTATTTTGTAGATATCAGTGCATTGATCCTAAAGTTTGTGTGGAGAGGCAAGAGAACAGAATAGCTGACATAATATTGAAGGAAAAGGAAAAAGGTAAGAGGACTGACATTTCTTGACTTTAAGATTACTGTAAAGTTGCTATAATCAAGGCAGTGTGGTATTGGCAAAAGTTTAAACAAACAGATCAATGGGAAAAACCAGAGTCCAGAACTAGATGCACATACATAGAGCCAACCAGTCTTTGATAAAGAAGCAAAGACAAGTCAGCGGATACAGGAGCCTCCCAACAAGTGAGGCTGAAACAACTAGAAATCCACACGACACAGAGCTTATACCTTTCATAAAAATTAACTCAAAATGAATCGCAGAACTAAACATAAAACACAAAGCTATAAAATCCCTACAGGAGAAAATCTAAATGATTGAGTTTGGAAATAACTTTTTAAATACATCACCAAAGAAAGGATTCAAGAAAGGCTAAATCCACTTTGAAAGAAAGTTTGGCATATTTTACAAAACTATATGTATCCTTATTATGTAATTCAACTCTCACATTCCTTAGTATTTAACCAACAGAGCTGAAAAATTAGATTCACACAAAAACCTGCACACAAATTTTTAGAGCAGCCTTACCCATGAATTCCAAAATACGAAAGCAAGGGAGATATCCTTCAGTAGGTGAATGGACAAAATTGTGGTACATCCATACAATGGAATATTAGTTGACATAGAAAAATAAATCAACAATAAAGTCACATTAAGGCACGGAGGAGCTACAGATGTATATTGCAAAGTGATACATGCCAACTGGAAAGACCATGTACTGTATGTTTCCAACTATATGACATTATGAAAAGAGTAAAATTATGAAGACAATAAAAAGGTCAGTGGTTGTCAGGTGTTTATTGTAAGAAGGGATGAAGAGGTGGAGCACAAAGGATCTTTAGGGCACATAAACTATTCTGTATAATAGTTTATAATGCTATAATAATGAGAATATTAATATTAATGCTATATTAATATTAATGCTATAATAGTGAGAATATGTCATACATTTATCAAAACCCACAGAATGCACAAGAAATAATTCCTAATATAAACTATGGTTGGTAATGGTGTGTTAATGTTTGTTCATGTAACAAATGTACCAATATGTAGTGGGATGATGAACGAGGGGGAGGCTTTGCACATGAGTAGAATGGTTATTCTCTGTTCTGGGTATTCTCTGTTCTTCCTGCTCAATTTTTCTATGATTCTAAACCTGAAACATAAAATCTACTACTAAAAAAATGATATATATCTGCATGGATTGATAAGGATAAAATGACTCAAATTTATTGCCAGTGAAAAAGAGGCCAATTGTATAATCTGCATTGCATGAACTGAACTCTGTGTGCATGTTTGTGTATTTAAATATTATTTTATAAATAGATATACAATCATTCTCTATATCCATGAAAGCATCAAAAAATAACTGAAAAATATATACTAGTTAATGGTGATTATCCACAAATGTCAGCTGAATAATGGGTGATAGCCACACTAGATTTTTATAGTTTATGTTGCTTAATATTTATTATATCTAGTATGTACTGCCTTTCTATTCAGCAACAAAAAAATATGCTATAAGAAAGGAAAACAAAGTTTATGGTCAGTTTAGTCAGGAAGATTGAGGAAATATTGGAGTTCTCTCCAGAACTTACGACAAGCTGGGGAGACGTATTCTGTCTGCAAAACTTCTCCAGAAAGACCCCATTGATAGCAAATTCTCCAACATGCGCACTCTGCATAAAAACTAGCTTATGTGACAATGGTGGAGCCAGCACTGTGGCAGAAATTCCCCTGCGAGAGATTATACCTGTTCTATCCTGTTTATTGATCAGATGAATGGTGTCATAAAGTCTAGAACATCAAAGAGTAGTCACTGTTACATGGGAGCACTGACTGCTTTACCACAACTGGCCAGAGTTACGTGGCTTCCAAGGGGATGTACCCATCGAAATGTTAGCCCTGACTGAACATTCAGTTAGTGGAGTTATTTTATGCTTGGAACATACTAAACAATCACAAAAGAAAAATAGGAGCAAGAAGTTTGCAGAAAAATATGAAATAAGTAGTTCAGTTGTTATTACGTGCTGTTTTCAGAGTATGAAACTCTCCAAAAAGTTCAGGAGTAAGGAAGGTAAGGAAAATAGGAGGATGTCAGGACTTAGATGTTAACCTTTTTCCCCTTTAATCATGTTTTTGAAAATGTAGAAATATGTCAATGCTCTGTGGAGGTGTGTCTGGTCCTTGTTGAGAGCTTCCTGCTGCTGTAGTTCTTCACATTCCTTTATGAGCACTTCTTAGAGCGGCTGGGGGACAGGTCTAGTATCCACTGAGCAGAGCTTTTCTGAAAGACACCTACGTGTGAGGGACACTGCAACACCGTGGTCACAAACATGAAGAGACTCGAGGGAGACAGCAGTCTCTGCTCTGCCACCATCTGCAGAGCTTCCAGGAGGGGAACCCCAATCTGTGTTTCCTTAATCCCTCATGGATGTTTTTATTTAATGCCACAAATAAGGACCAAAAGTGCCCTAAACTCGAAACCATACCCCAGCTCGACGAAGTAAACAAAAGCTCCTGGGATAAATGAAACAAGTGGCTACTCACTTTGAAAGAGACCTCTCATTCTGGGCCTCACCCTGCTCTTGACCTGTCTTTTTTACATCTGACAGTCATTGGCTTTTTAATGAGATTTAGGATTACCTACTTTGCTCTGCCTCTGAAATTTTTGTCCCTCTGACTTATGTCCTCCTCTGTGGGCCCCTTCAGTCTGCCAGCTGGGCCCACATTGTTTGTACCCATGGTTCTGCTCCAACTTAAAACATGTAACTGTTCCCTCAGGCCCTGCTCCAGAGCAATGAGTCTGCAATGTTTTCAGCATCTACGTACACCCTTTACCTAAAGGGTCTTTTGAGACTTAAAACCCTCTGGGCTTGATTGGCACCCAGCCCAGGGAGAGACCAGCTGCTCTGTAAAGGCTTTCATGGATTCAGCATAGTTAAGAGATAACTCATAGGGGCCATTCCCGCCTCTTTCCTCCTCCACAGGAGAACTCAGTATACACTTCAGAAGCTTCTTTCTCATTTCTTTAATGTTCCAGGAAACATGCACAATGGACAAATCGCCTTGAGTTCATCTGCATTTCTGTAGGAGGCAAAAGTTCAACGGAGGGATGCTCCCAGTTTACTGTGAAGTCTGCTCTGCTGGAACCAGATACTGACATCTCCTGCCCAAAAAATCCAACAGCCTCACAATACTTGGGCAATAGGAAGCATGAATGCTCTTTGCAGGTGGTCCAACAAAGAATGAGAAGCTATTCTTATTTTCAAGTAGCCCAGAACTCTCAGACTCAGGATACTCAACACTTTTTTTAATGTGAAAAGTAGAAGAGACTGGCCATATCTCTCGCCCACTACTGCTTCCTATAAATTCCCTTTCCTGAGTTAGGACCCAAGTTAGAGCTTTCAAGACCTGCTTTCCCTGACTGTTGAAATTATGCCACAGGAAGGGGAAGAACATAGAACTTTCAAACCTGTTCACTGCAGCCCACCACTATGAGGACCTGCCCACCAGATATTAGCACCCTTACTACTAGCAACAAGACATCATCTTGGTAATTTGACTTTTCACCCTTCCTAATAAGCACATGTGATACACAACTTGCAATTTCTCAGTTGCACAATCAGAAACCTGTGACATCACAAAGCTCTGAGCAGCATGTGGGAAGCACCCTAGCAACCAGACCCAATAAGGTCAACACTTCTCTGAACTGGAGAAACAGCACAGATGGAATGAAGCTGTCTCAGCTTAGCCTTTTGTAATAAGTTTTGAGAACTCTACCAGGGCTAAATAACCAGAAGTTTCTGTTTGGTTTTATTTTTGTTTTAACCGTCAACCAGATGCTACTGCATCAAAGCAGCCAGTCCCCATAGGTGATAACACATAGTTTTTATCCATTCCACAAGGGTGGGATTGGCCCAAGATGAAGGGATGCGGCTAGTTCTCTAATAACAGCAGTGCCTTTCGGGAGATGTGGGCTGCCTCTTTCAGAAATGATGTTTTAATTGGGAAAAAAAAAAAACAAAACCCTTTCATCACCCTCACTATAGGTTTATGAAACTTCTTCCCAATCATGTGATTTTGATAATCACAGATGAAATCCAAAGTAAAGCTCAATATCTTAGATGTTATGACTTATTAGAAATACAGGTGTGGAGGCAAGGCAATTCTTTTTCAGGCTAAACTGATGGCCTAGATACCTTTTTCTGTGCATGGGTCACAGTCCATTTCTTAAATTTACCTGACAAAATTCACTTGGGAAGTTTGTAAACAAGAAGACTCCTGCACCCCTATCTTGGTGGCTGGTTCTGCAAGTCTGCAGAGAAGTGAGGGTATTGCCCCTTAAACAATGACCCCAGATGACTGATGTGATTATATGAGAGCAGAGCCTTCCTTCTGCCAGAGCTATGCTCTAACAAACAAGAGAATCCCAAATTATGTTAACAGAAGACAAATCTGTGATACTTTGATTCTAGCTCTGGATTTAAATGCATTAACTCCTGACAATGAAGGAGAGTAATTCTCTGATCCTTGGATTTCTTTGATTTCCTTAATCAAGGGAAAATCCTTGATCGCAGAAAGAGGCAGTTCAAGCCCTTCTAGGGGCGGCATTTGTATCAGTAAATGAAACAAAACCAAACATTCTGTTCATCACAGAAATCATCAGTATAACATTTTAAACTTGAATTTGTGAAGTGAGGATACACATTCACTAATGTGCTCAGTTGCTCAGTCATAAATACATATGCACAAATCAACCTGCTTTTTTAGCTTTCCAACTGATCTCCAAGTCCTGATCTGATCTCCATATCCTATTAGTTCTGCCCAGAGGAAAAGAAGAGCAATTTCCAAATTTCCAGCATTTGGAAAATAAAATCCTCCTGTAAGAATCCAGAGGTATTGCCTTCTCTCTTATTCCATTTCTCAAAGAGAATAGCTCTGAAGCTCCTGGAAACTGGCTACAAATTAGGGATAACCATAGAGGATTTATTAAGTAAATTATAGTATATATTCATTATTATGATGCAACCATTATGATGATACTTATAAATAAATGATAATGACATGGGAAAATACAATACAATGATCCATAAGAGAACAAAATGTATAGGCACATAACCACGTTACATAATTTCACCAATTACACATAAATATACAATCATTTATGTGGAAATATGACTAAGGTGTAAGGTATAAAAATATTTTATTTTTTTTAAAGTAAATGGGCAACAAATAAGTTCCATAGTATTCTTTAGATTTTTTTTCTAGGTCTTTTCTATTATTAAATTTAATGCATCTTTATTATTTTTTAGAATAAAGCGTGGCTTCCCTGGTAGCTCAGCAGTAAAGAATCCACATGCAATACAGGAGACCTGGGTTTGATCCCTGGGTAGGGAAGATCCCCTGGAGAAGGAAATGGCAGTGCAATAGAGGGGGAAATTACTTCCATGTTAAAAATAATTTAAAGCATGTTAAGAAACATGGTTTGCCAATCATGGGTCTAGGATTTGAGCAGACTTGCTATGGGTGGGGACAGTTACCATTAGTAATAATCATACTTGCTTCTAGGGTCATCAGGGAATGCTTTATTACCGATGCTACAAGGACCCTTGAGAACGTGTAGGAACACCTGGCACCGTGTTCTATTCCATGCAGTAAATCCAGATCAGAACTCCATGGGCAGAGCAGGCAAAGGAGCTGAAAAGATGACTTGATAGACAGCTTAACAAATAATGGTACTTTTTACAGTAGTCTTCAGGATACAGAAGACTTTGAGGTTAGATGTCCTGTTATCCAGAGATGACACAGAAACCAGCAGGCAAAAGTTACTGGAGGGTTCAGGTTTCAGATCAGCACAAAGAACAACTTACTATCTGAGCTCCTGAGGAGGGCAGCTTCCCAACCCTTCAGAGCTCAGTCTGACACTAGAGGATCATCTGTCCAGGAGGCTGATGAAGGAATGGTCATCTTCAGCAGCAAAAGCTGTGTTAAGTAACACGCAAGCTTCCTACTCAGGTAGGGGACCCTAAGGAATCAGATCTATGAAGCTGAGATTTTATTTGACCAGGCAAGCAGACAGACATGACTACTCCCATCATAAAGAGGAGAAAGTTGAGGCTCAGAGAACTGAATGCCCAAGTCATACAGCTAGAGGGTAGTAGAACCATTAACTTTAAATCAATGCTGTGAGCACCAGTATATGTACTCAAATACCAGGGTATATGTATAAAGCCAGGATACCTATAATTCTAAAAAGGATTCAGGAGATAGATCCTTGAGTGGTAAACAGGAAGGAGAAATGGCAACTTCTTCCTCAACCTTTGGCCTTCATGACAGCATTACAGCTTGCATCTTCTTGCTTCATCCAACACAATAGTTTTCTAGGAGAAAGAGTCAGTTGTAGCAGAAGTCACAGTCAAATCCAAAGCTTTATTCTCTGAAAGGCTCTCTGAATTGCCTGAGACATGATCCACACAGCAGCCACACTTGTCGTGACTGGGTCTGAGGCTGGGACAATAGCTGCTGAGGCAGGAAGGCAAAGGCTGTGAATGTCACCAAATAAAGACATGCTTGGGTGCAGAGTGAGAATATGAGCCACAATGGAGCAGGAGCCTTCTGCCTCTGGTTCCAAGAAAACTCCTGTGCTCTTGGTTACAGGGCTCTTGAAGAAATACATGCATTCCTGTCAGAGAAAACCCAGCAGCACAGAAGAGGACTGGACAGGAGGAGTGGTCTTTCTTATCCATGGTTTCTGGCCTTTGGCCCCGGATTGTAGTTGTTGTTGGCGTTGTTGCTCTGCCACAAAGAGACATCATCCCAAGGGGGAAAAAAAAAGAGAGAGAGAGAGAGGAGAGAAAATGCTAGTAAAATAAAACTGGGAGCATTAGACAGGTTTTTATTTCTTCTTTCCAGAAAATTGTCAAGGCATTAACATGGTACTCAGCATTCTGATTTCTATGACTGGCAATTTTACTCAAGTGAGTTCTAGGAAGAAGGGAAAATGATTCCAATGAATGTTTATTGAGTACATACCATGAAAGAAGCACTCTGCTAGAACATTTCCACGTGTTGAATCATGTTAGCCTTGTGAAGATCTTCTGAAGTGGCTAGGATCACTGTGCTTACTTTACAGATATAGAAACATACAGAGAAATGGCACTAACCTGTTTGACGTATTATTCTTATAGACCAGGTGCAAAAACTGAATGCTTAAGGAAGGTTATGAGACTTGTGCCCAGATTCCACAACAAATACAGGACAAATCTGAACTAAAACTCCCATCTTCTGGATCAGGCTGATGATTTTCTCCTCACCTAAAAAAATATCCTGGACTAGTGCTCACAAAGCATGACCATGAGTATCTTATGAAACTTCCTGGCTCATAGAAATTTCCTGAATAACTCTCTTAAATATCAACATATATAGTTGAACCAAAATTTCCCTGGACATGTACAGTGAGTCAGACCCTCACTCTGTCAGATGCTCTCATAGCTGACTTGTGAAATGGTATTTTTATCTCCTTATTAATGGAATATAAGTGCCATATTTGAGGTCTCAGAGCCAGTTCGTAGCAAAGAAGGAATGTGAAGCAAGTCTTCTGACCCTCAGCCCAGGTCTCTCCACTTTACATCTCAGATTACCTTCCCAAATGGAAGAGAGTTCTTGAAACAACACAACAGCTAAAACCATTTAAACTTGAATCTCAGCCACTTTGACCTTAATAGCATGCTTTAAAAATTTTCTCTAAATGTCTTAGCCTTTAATAATTAATTAAATTGAGCTCATAAACAGGGTAATCCTGACTTTACTATAATGAGGTGTTTTATTCTCCCTCATATAATTTTACTGATAACTGCGATCACTTTCAACCAAAGTAATGCCTTCTCAAGGAAGAGAGTTGACATCTCTAAGGTTTGGTCTACATGTTACCTTCTCACAATGAGGAACCCAAAACCATGAGATCAGGTTAAAACAGGTAAAGGCAAATCTTCCCAAAAAGAAAAGACAGATTCATTTTAAAATCAAAATTAGTCTTTGGGGATAGAGAAAGAGATATATCTACATCTTTACAGAGAATGGATATGTATCACTAAGCAGCCAATATGGTAGGAATGAACACTGCTGGCCCTTATGAATTAGCAATTTTACAGAGATGCTTTCAGTGAAGCTCTGAAGTCAGCAACATGAGGATCTATAACACCAAGAGACTGTGAAACAGCAGTGTTTCCAGAACTGAACTTCAGCAGGAAGACAAGCAATCATGCTAGAAGGGCAGGGAGTTCTCCAGACAAGAGACCCGAGGGATACAGAAGTGCCAACTCTTGAAGCAACCTCATCATACATTTGGAAATGGAAAATAATACCTCCTTAGATTCTGTTACTACAGATCAATGAAAGAATGTCCCTGCCATTATGTAAATAGCCCTAATACTTTTAGTTGACTATTGCAATTAAAAGAAATCTACCAAATTCAATCAAAAGAAATCTACCAAATTCAATCAGAAGTTGTGTTTTCTACAGAGTCAGCTAGCCTAGCTTCTTAATTAGGTTACTACATTAACCAACTTCATAACTTCTAGAGGGAATGGAACATTAGAATTTGTTGCTCTGATGCATTGGCCAAATCCTGAACAACCACACATTTTCTATGCTCTTTATACATCATTTCTTACGTCCTCTCAATCTCTCCATCAAGACCCCATTCCAAACTCAGGTTCTCTCTTGACATGCTTAAATGAAGGATAACTTTGAGGAAGCAAAATGTGAGAGAAGAAAATAACAATGAAGCAGCAGGCTTTATTCTTCACTTATTTATCAATTCATTATAAATTTATAAATACACCTCTCACTTCATAATATCCTTAGGAAACTTGTTGGTGGAGAGGACTGACTTATAACTTATTGCAAGGGGGCAGAGGGATTTGAATGACTCCCCAATTTTATATTTTATATGAAAAACCTCTTTGCCATGGAATTAGCATGTGCATCTTACAGCCTTTATGAGAACTCAGTCATATGAGGATATTTCAAGAAAGGGTGGGTAAGCAACAAAAATGATTCCATTAGCAGCAAACTTGGAGGATATATAGCCTGCTGAACAATCTGTGCTTAGGTTGCACCAACTCAGTCCTCTTAACTCATTTAAGGTTTGCAGCAGCTTAGACTCATATACTTTCCCTGGCCTTCTGAATTAATAACACACACCTTATTCAGGAAGCTTCCAAGATATGGTCACCTGATACAATGAATCAGAAGTGGCATCTCACCTCTCTGCTTACATGAGATGATGATGAGCTTAGAGTGAACCTCAGTGGGGTCACCAACCTTGGGAACAGCTTTGCTTATGAAAGATCCTTAATATTGTTCAGAATGGACTTGCAGGAAGCCACATGTGATTCATATTTGTAGCCTGGATGGACTTTCTAGGGGAGGAATCTGACCAGGACGGGTATCAGTGGGGTGGGGCCTCTGGAGCGCTGTAACAACAGGAGTGCTGGCTACACTCATATGTGGGGTGTGTGTGTTCATTTGTGAAAATCCTACAAGCAGAGCAGTGATAATTTGGCACTTTTTAATGTCTGGTGAAAGTGAAAGTTGCTCAGTCATGTCTGACTCTTTGTAACCCCCATGGACTGTGGCCTTCCAGGCTCCTCTGTCCATGGAATTCTCCGGGCAAGAATAATGGAGTGAGTAGCCATTCCTTTCTCCAGGGCATCTTCCCACCCCAGGGATTGAACACAGATCTCCCACATTGCAGGCAGATTCTTTACCAGCTGAGCTATAAGGAACCCCTTTTAATGTACAGTTACCTTAAAAAAATTAAAATATCCATAGTAGGAAGAATAAATGGACAGGAGTCTTTGGGAAAAAAAAATTAAAGTCTAACATGAGTTAACTTTATTCTTTCAGAGAAGCTCTGAGAAAGCTGTTAAGATGAAAATCATGAGTTATGCATTAAACTAATTTAGGTACCCAATCCCTCACATTTACATGTATATACTAAGTTAACTGTGGATATGGTGATATCATTCCCTCTCTCACATATCACATTACCTAGGGCAATAATATTGCACTAACAGAAAATGACTACTGACTTGTCATAATCACCTCGACAACCACACTGATTAAGGCCACATTCCCAAGAAAATGACAGCATTACCCATTTCTACCTGGTACAGAAGAAGCAACACAACAAATATGAAGGGGAAACTGTCACAACTATGCTAGTGGAATTCCACTCTGAAGAGATGAGAGCAATGTTTAAGATTTAAGGCAAGTCTTAATCTTTTGAGAGCTCAGATTCTTTGGTTTAGTCATCATGTCTCTGAATGTCTGAGACAAGATGCATAAAAGGAAAATGGAAACCAAACATGATATTTAAAGACTGTTAGTCAAGAGTTCCAAATGGCATGGAGATGGAGGAGACTAGAAAGGAAGAATGACATCACATATTGTTACATGTGCTAAGAAACATGAAGGTGGACCTAATTCTCTTAAGAAAGATGGGAAAAGGAGTACAGATTGTCTCTCCTCCTCCCAAACATCCCTGGCTTGGCAAATTCCTAATTCTATATAAATAAAGGCCAGCTCCTCAACTACTTGTAAAATCACTTTTTCCCTCTGCCAAGAGGATGAGTTGACTATCCATCCATTCGTATCCTCATAGAACTTTTAAAAATTCTTATTATATTTATTATGCATTTAAAATTCTTAATAGTGATTTTTCTGTTTGTGCAGATATCTATTCCTACTAGTATGCTCAACCTCAAGGGAAAAGGTTACATCTTAGCATGTAGCGCAATCACTTAAGGTGTTCTAATAGCTTTACTACAAAAGCAATACTTACACGTGGAAAAAATTCAAAATAGTACAGACAAAAATAAAAGGAATGGTTAAAAATTCCCTCACATGATCTAGACCAGTGGGCAGCAAACTATTCTTGTAAAGGTAAAGACAGAAAATATTTTAGGTGCTTCAGGACATATGGTCTCTGTTACAACTACTTAACTCTGCTGTTGTATCACAGATCACAAAAACAGATGATATGTAAAAATGAATGAACGGGGTTTTTTTCCAATAAAAATTAGATGAAAGTGTAAGTTTATTATATGAAAGTAAGATTTAACTATAAAGCAGTAAGACTCAAGATGGTGTGCTTCTCCCTAAGAAAAACAATATAAATAATTTTGAAAATATAGGAAATTTATAAATATACCTACGTATATATGGTCAGGGTTTCCCAAATGGTGCCAGTGGTAAGGAACCTGCCTGCCAATGCAGGAGACATTAGAGACTCAGGTTCAATCCCTGGGTCGGGAAAATATGGGCATGGCAACTCAGTCCAGTATTCTAGCCTAGAGAATCCCCATGGACAGAAGAGCCTAGTGGGCTACAGTCTATAGGGTCACAAAGAGTTGGACGTGACTGAAGTGACATAGCACACATGCATGCATGCATATATGGTCAACTATTTACCAAGAATGTTACAAAGACAAATTCAAAGGGTAAAGGATGGTACCTTAAATGCCTGTGGAGAAAGCTGAGCACCAAAAAATTGATGCTTTTGAACTGGGGTGTTGGAGAAGACTCTTGAGAGTCCCTTAAACTGCAAGGAGATCCAACCAGTCCACCCTAAAGGAGATCAGTCTTGGGTGTTTGCTGGAAGGACTGATGCTGAAGCTCAAACTCCAATACCTTGGCCACCTGATGTGAAGAACTGACTCATTGGAAAAGACCCTGATGCTGGGAGGGTTTGGGGGCAGAAGGAGAAGGGGATGACAGAGGATGAGATGGCTGGATGGCATCACCAACTCAATGGGCATGAGTTTGAGTAAACTCCGGGAGCTGGTGCTGGACAGGGAGGCCTGGCGTGCTGTGATTCATGGGGTCGCAAAGAGTCAGACACAACTGAGCGACTGAACAGAACTGAACTGAACTGAGGATCATACCTGAAGGTAGTTTTGTTGTCAGTGAGCGAGCCCATGGCTGTCCAGTTCAAAATCCCTCCAACCACTGGGCAAAATTCAGGACAGGTCAGGTGGAAATTAGAGACAGCGTTTCTAAGCCAGGGTGACAAATGCCCTTTTCATAATTCTAACTGAAAGTGGTGGAAAGTAAAGAACTAAACCAGAGAAAGATGTTTCACCTTATCTAAACAGGCAAGCCCTGGATTAGATGGACCATAAGTCTGGGTTCCCACATCCTCTGTCATCTGAGTTAAGGAAGGTGACCAGAACCCTCAAAACTTTGACTCTGGGCAAAATATGATCCACCAATTACCTGATAACTTAACTCGGTAGCAGTATCTTAAGGTGAGGGTCCATGGTGTCTGTGCTACTTCTTTAGGATCAGCAGCCAGCAAGGAGAAAGCAAATGGCAGCTTCTGTACATCCTCCTGGGTAACAAGCTAGAGACAAAACACATTAGTGATGTTACATGAATTATTCGCAGGGATAAATGGAGGTCATGAAAGGAATAAAACAGGTCAGCAATCTGAGAACATGGTGACTTGGAAAGGAGCACACTTAAGATTTTTCCCCTCATGCCAAAGGGTCTCCCTATCATCACTCTAAACTGACTTATAAATTCTCTAAGCAACTCCCAAATAAACCTATCTATGGGGTGGTGTGATCCAGCAGAAAGAGCTTTAGAGTCAAAGTCAGAACAAAACTTAAATCCCTGATCTGTCACTCTATAAGTAATTTACTGCAGGTTTCTTAACTCCTCTGAGCCTCAGTTTTCACAGGATTAGAACAAAGACAACACCAACTTCACAGGATTGTTGTGAGGTTTCAATTAAATAACACAGTGATATTCTGCACTGTTATTACAGAGAATTGCTCAAAAGGTGTGGCGATTTATATCACTGTTGCTAAAATTCAGCTTCTGTTATCATGTGATAGCATACTGTTCCAAAAAATCTCTGCCTTGTCCCCAAACCCCAGCCTTGATTAGTCACAAGGGCAAAAGAAGGGATTGATGACTCATTTACAATGGCGGGAACTTAACACTTATATCAACAAGCAACCTCACTTGGAATACATCTTGTCAATGATGGGCACGGACACTTTTTAAGGGCTTATAATGACCCACAAATCAACCTGGTCCAGGAAAACTGATCTAAAGCCCAACATGTGTAATTTATTTGTATAGGTTCTTCTCAAACCCAGGAGCTCGGTGCCCAATCTCCATGCTTCTCTCCAACCACTGAGGTCCCTGACAGACAGTGCAGGCTGCAGTCAAAACAAAAGTTCTCTCTCCAACCTGTGGCAAAAAAAAAAGCCTGAGCAAGTCGAGGGATCAGTGGAATGCTGGGTCCAAAATTTTAGCTCTTCTTCCTCCAGTAACTGAAGTGTAAATCACAGGGCAAAGTTCCTATTTCATCTCCCACAAAATGTAGATATAAAGATATCTGTCCTTATAATCTCTCAGGACTATGATGAGAATAAAACTGAAGTGATGGGACAAAATTCTTCAAAAGTGAGTCATTTTGAACAGTGCAAAGGTACATTACTGATCTAAGGTAGTACTATAAAAACATTCAGCAGATCTCAGCAGAGAGAGAGACACGAGCCCATTTATGCACATGTAAAAGTTCACACCAGAGCATTTAGGTCCTTTTATTCTTACCTACATTTTAGAATAAGCTCTATTCTTTCAGTATACACCTTACATGATAGGATTTCACTTTTGTTTCTTGCCAAGCTTTTAACTATTGCCTCAATCTGACCTGCAGACTCAAGCCTGCCCTCTACAGTAACCATTACATTCTGAGGAGTCTGGGTGCTCCTCACATTGGCCAAGCTTCATTTAGGCCATCATCTTTGGCTACTGTGCAGACACTGTTTGACAAATTTCCCTGGTGGAAACAAAAATGCAGTCTGCATACTTTCTAGAGGTGAAAGAAAATAATTAAGATTCACATAAAGGTAGGTCACATCTGTATATAAATGTAAAAACATAAAGTGGCACTTTGGGCAGCTTGGCTGAGGATGTCTCTGATACAGTTTACTAAATAAATGGCAGTCTTTTATTTTTTGAAAAGTGCACTTGAGAAATGTCATGATAAAAAAAGCAACAATATCCAAGGTGAGATTTAAAGGTGCAAATAAAGGGCAATCAAATTTCTAAGGGATGGCATATTTTTCCTTTTCTTGGCATAGATTTTTCAGTTTCTCATTTGGCAAGCCTTATATCTATAATTAGGGCTTCTCTGATAGCTCAGTTGGTAAAGAATTTACCTGGAATGCAAGAGACCCCAGTTTGATTCCTGGGTCAGGAAAACCTGCTGGAGAAGGGATAGGCTACCCACGCCAGTATTCTTTGGTTTCCCTTGTGGCTCAGCTGGTAAAGAATCCACCTGCAATGTGGGAGACCTGAGTTCAATCCCTGGGTTGGGAAGATCCCCTGGAGAAGGGAAAGGCTACCCACCCCAGTATTCTGGCCTGGAGAATTCCATGGACTATACAATCCATGGGGTCACAAAGAGTCAGATACAACTGAGTGACTTTCACTTCACTTATCATATCTATAATAATTCAAAAGTGATGTCACAGATTAAATTTTAATCTCTTTCCTCTCCACATTAGCTCTTGCAGTTCTTTTGCCTACCACTATGGATTGTCATCTCAAAACTCCCCTTTTAAAGTTCTCAGTACTATTCACCGCCCAGTGCAAGCACCACCCTTGCCCCAGCCCTCATCCCCATCCCAGCCAGAGGGCTCCACCTCACCTTTACTTCTTGAGCAGTTCTGTCCTCAGATGACAGGCATCTTCTACTGCCTTACACACATGTTCATAACTTTTGGTACCAGTTCACATACACCTCCTAGTCAGTGTCTGGAACATACTAGGTGCTCAGCAAATATCTGTAGAATTAAAAGTTGATAAGATAATGTATATAAGGTTGTTAGCTTGTCCCTGGCACACAGATTTTACTCCTTGAATGTTAGCAATTATTAACACCATAGATAAAGAAGACAAGCCATGTATTTTATGCCCAGTTCTATTGTACTCATAACTCTAAAAATGTGAATCATTCCCAGGTCAATATTTAGTTTAATTAAATTGACACAATTTAATCTAGATGGTACTAGCAAATTTCAAAAAGGCATTTTAATTTATACTCTTAAATTATGTGTTTTGTAGCTACAGATTTCACATTTACCAACACAAAGATAATGTAAAACAAGCTACTACACCTTTATATCTTACTCCAAATACCAGTACCTGATTTAAATAGTGGCATTCAAATCTGTTGAATTTTTATAAACACATTTGTATAAAAACAGCAGAGACACACCTAATCATGTAAAATATAAGATTTGCTCACTCTCAAGTCAAGGGCATAGATCAATAAGCCATCTTTACTTCCCCAGAGCTTGACTCACAAATACAAAATGTTTAACACTCTCAAGCTAAAGATACTAAAACATTGTGTCAGACCTGAGTGAAATGTAAGAGACACAATCAACACTGTATCCTCAAAAAGCATAAAGCAGACAATCTCCCTACTTTAAAGATAGCTAGTAAGAAGATCTGAGATTAAAACCAAAGTCCATCTACCTCCACATATGCTTTGTTTTATTCAGTAGCATCTTCCCTTCCAGGCCACATTATATCTGCATTCTTCACCAGGACCTGAAGGGAAAAGTAAAAATATAAGTTCGCTAAAGATAATCACCTCTATTAAAATTAAAAAGGTCAGGTGAAAAGATCTTACAGAAATGATCACCAAACCCAGTTTTCAAAGTCAATGTAAAATAAAACTAGATCCTGTTAACTCAAAAATGTTTTAAACAAGATCAGATACCAAAATTTGCCAATGACCTTATGCTCAATAAATCATCCAAATGTTCATTTTAAGATCCTCTAAAGATGAAAATGAAAGTTGGGAAACAATGCAGTCTCTATTGGAGCTAAAGAATGAAATGTACCAGCACATGTTAACAACATTCCTTTTTCTCAAAGATAGAGAGCTCCCATAATCAGGACTTATCGCTTCTCATCCTTCTCTGAAATCAACTCAAGATGAATAAGTTTATAATCTTAAAAGGTTCTGATTTCCAAGTTTTACTGTAAGTTAAAATTTGTAAGACAGGAATAGATTTTGGAATCAGATTCAAACTGGTATGTTCTGTTCCACACCCCCATAACACCTTAGCCAAGTCACTTATCCTTTCTGAACCTGTTTGCTGCTTTGTGCAATGGGAGTGAGAATTTGACTCTCACAAAACTAGTATGAAAACTAATGATGACAATAAGGCATTTTACCAAAGAAAAAACCCCAAAGAAAAATGACCCAGCTTAATTACCAAGGTTGTGTGGATACATCTCAGGTCTAAAAATATCTGAGGAAGAAGACAGGAATGTCAAACAATCAGACAGTCATGCAGCATTTGATACAAGTAGCATTAACACCATCGTAATAATATAATTTAAATAGCATATTGCAGATGACTGATTTTGAGAGACACTGATATTAAGAAAGAGACAGGAGGATGAGAAACCAAAGTATTTGAATCATATTCGGCATAACATGTGAGAAAGAGCTATTAATGCTTACTACTACCTAATAAGAATTTCACAAGGATTAATCAGCTAATGCTGGTTAGTTTTTTGGAACTCAGTGGAAGAAAAAACAACATACACACATACATACACACACACACACACACACACACACACACACACAACACCACAAGGCAGCAGATATCATCATAAAAATCAGATCATGTACAAAATAAGTTGCACAGAAGCAACATGGTCTTGCTCCTGATAAACTATTTGCACTTAGCATTCTTGAAGCCACAGGATTCCTTCATTTGGTTCAGATCATGCAAAGACTTCCATCAAGAAAGGCTGTCCTATGTGACAAGATGTTAATATCAGTGCCTGGATTTAAAGAATGACTCTCAAATTTGGGGAGTTACTCTGAACACACACAAATTATACTCAAAGAATAGGGAAAAGTCTCATTGAGTGCACAGTAAAAACTACATCTACCAAAGGCTGCCCCAAGAGCATCAGCAAAAAGCACAGGAAGGAGACAGGAAGAAAAAGGAGGGAGGCGAAGAAGTCACTCAGAATTCCAGCCAAGTTATAATGGGCAGTCCATAATTACCATAAATTAATATCTTTTAATTCAGGTGTTATTATAATTGTTAGTCTATCTTAGCCTTAGCATTTAGTTAAAGATCAGTCAGGTCCAAAAGATGTGTGGTGCCTGCATCCCACCTCTTTCTGGGGGAGGAAGTGTAAGTGTAAGTCAAATTTTGAATTTGACTTTCTCTTCCTATTTAGGGTTGATGAACTGTTCCTTTTAATGATCTGAAAGAACAAAGTGTTAGGAATGGCAGTGACACACATGTGTTTGTGACTTTACAGTAACAATGCCCTTTTCACCTGTATCAAGATACATGATTCTGTCAACTAATCCTAATTAGCACTGACCTCACTTTACAGATGAAGAAATTCAAACTCAACAAATTATTTTATTCAGAGTTGCCAAACGTGTGTGATAAACAGAACCAGAACTCAAATCTCCATTCTTGCTTTTCATGTCAAGTCACCTTCATCCAAGAAGTTTCCTATGATTTCCCATATTCCAATTTACAAAAATAACAACATTAAATGTTACTGTCTCCATAATGCTCAGATAAATTTGGCTAGATGAAACTGATTAGCTCTGTTATTGAGGACATATTCATACATACTAAAAAAGGGGTGTGTGTGTGTATATATGTAGGGAGGTTATGTGTGTAAGGAGTTGGCGGGAAGAAAATGAAGACTTCAGACAAGAGAGAAAGCTCACTAATTAGAAAATTATGGGTGCTCCAACATTAATAATCACCACCATTACTTACTACAACAAGTAGCCTTAGTGGACTACTATATGTCACCCATCCATGATTTCACCCACAATATCATTATATGGCTAGTAAGCATAAACATATAGGCACGCATGCAACAGACACACACACACACACACACAACCTGACAATATATTTCAGTCATTTCTTAAATGAACAAGCATCTGGTTTCCCAGAGATACGTTTTTTACTCTTTTATTCTGAATCAACAAATTGAAGAAGTGCAGAAGTTTTAAAAATTCAAATTTAAATGGGATGAATAATTTTAATGATAATGATGTTAAAGCTGTGATTATTAAAGAAGGGTTTGAGGGCAAAGGCGACTGATGAAAAGAATCTCTGTTGCAATTATTTCGGCAAACTTGTACATGAGCAACCTACAAACCAGAAGCTGTGTCCTTAATGCTAGACATTAGGCAGGTAAATGCACTTGGGATGGTGCTGTGAATACTGAGTGCTGATATCATGATTTGCATCAATACTATCTATACCTATGTACCAACAGAATTCCTAAAGAGCAGATATTTATTTTAAAATGTTCAAACTTATTTCAAAGCTAACAATGAGTATAAGTCTATGCCATGTCTCTGGGGAGGTTTCTGGAAATTCTATCACATATGGAGACATGGTAGAAGTAACTGGGTTGGATAATCTGTGTATATTTCAGAGCAAACCCTTAAACTCCTTCTTGAATCCCCTCTTAACTATGTATGCATTTACTTTTTGTCTATTCTTGGTTGTAATTTTTCAAATTTCTTTCCGGTGGCCTAGTGAACTTTCACACACTTTTTAAATGGTCTCTAATCATTACCAGAAAAGCTGTTGTTTTACTATTTCTGCCAACAAGAATTTCCCAGTTCACTGTTAAATTGAAGAGACTGAAGACAGATTGAAGAGCTGCAGATTTATTACTGCAACTCTAAAACCTCTCCTGGAATCACTAACTTTCACGCTGAATGACCTCATGGTGTCCAGCAGATCCCACCACACACCCTCTGCCCCTAAGTGCCGGTCTCCTACAATCTATCAATCTATTTCACCTTATAAGGAAAGGGCAGTACTTCCCAGCGCCTGCTCTTCACTATGGCAGGTCAGGCAATGCGGGAGATCAAGGGTTGTTATCAGAGAGAGTACTGATGTTTCCAGGGCTAGATCACACTGGACAACAAACAATAATTCACAAATTGCAAAGCTCCAGCTCTACACATGCATGCATGCATACACACACACACACACACACACACACACACACACACACACACATACACGGGGCCTTTAGAACGTAATACAGGCTCTCTGTAACTTGCATCCATAGCAGTTCTCATCCACTTTAAACTTGCTAGAGACATCAGTAAGCTTGGAGCAAGTAAAAGGGAAGTCACTTCAGGGAAACATCAGACTACCCTAAAAGTTAACCCTATGACCCCCGCATACTAAATACTTAATAATATCCCACTCTTTCCCTGGTCTTCAACTCCACTGACCACTGTGACAGGAAGTAGGATGCACAGGCTAACTTGGCATTTCCCCTCGGGGCCGGCGCCTGGAGAAAGAGATGGAAGTCCCTGAGGGAGGGATGTACCTCCTCTGGAAGGGGGGCAGAGGCTCTATGTTGCACATTTCCCAGATTAGAAGGCTCCTAAGGGCTTCTCCGCCTGCCCGTGCAGCCGTCTTTAAAGCCCACCTCCCCGCACCCTTCACTCTGTGACCCGCCCCCCAACACTTTACTCACCCGGCTGGCGGCCTGGACAGCGGAGCTGCCTCTGTGCAGCGGGGTCCCTGGCGCCGCCACCGCGCTGTCAGCCTCGCTCCTCCATCTGGGCAGCCTGTGGCTTCTCACGCTCGCTCTAGAGTCTCCGCTCCCGCCGCCCAAAGTCCCCGGGTCTTTTCTACCCCTGCTCCATCTGCTCCTGCTCCCCTTGCACCGCTCCGGGACGGGGAGGCGGAGCCAGGAGCCCGTACTCGCAGCGGCCCGTGAGAGGATCCCGGAGAAGGAACTCTGGTACCAAAAGGACCCAGCAGAGCCGCCGCCTCAGGCGCCCGGGGCGCAGATGAACGAGAGACTCGCACCGGCTAGGAGCGCGCTTAACTGGGATGAGGAGCCGCCTCCTCGCCAACTTTTCGCGTCGCGGGAGCGGAGAGGAGCGGAGCGGGGGATCCCGGCGGCGAGGCGGCGGCGTGGGGCTCTCCGTTGGCCGGTTGCAGGGGCCAGGCGCTCAGGACCTCAACTCCAGACAAGTTGGGCCGCTGTGGGGGCGGGCCGAGGCGTCGCGGGTAGGTGGCGGCCGGCGAGGAGCGAAGCGCCGCCACGAGGGCTGGAGTCTCGCGATACCACCAGGGCGCAACAGCTCCCGGAGCCCTCGCGTGGGGCCAGGAAGGGCGGGGCCCGCGCAGCGAGAGAGCATCAGCTGCGAGTGCTGGCACTCTCCGCCGCTCCCCGCACCTTCCGCCGCTCCCCGCACCCTCCGCTAGCTGTTTCTCGCTTTATTCTCCTCTGTTCTCTTTGCGGGAACCCAGACGTCCTCAACCGCCAGCACTCTCACCATTGTCTTTGGGAAGAGAGGGATTGAGGGGCTCCTATTTTTGCCCCTTTGACTCTGTAAAGGGGCATTTGATCTAAACCGCAGCACAGGCAATGTGTCTTGGTCTGGGAGAGATGCCAGAAGGGTACTACAGGACAGGGGTGGGTTGTATGTGTGTGATAGATCAATAGATTGATCTGTCTTAGATATGGCTATTAGTGCATGCGAGCGAAGTCGCTTCAGTCGCGT